GTGGAGTGTACTTCATTTGCTTTCAACGATTTCCTAATTTCCAGTAAAATGTATGGGAAGGTAACAAAAAACTTGTTGATCAAATCAAAATGCTCGGTCCAATACTATGTGCACGGTGCTTTGTCTCCACCTACTGGCCAGCGATTGTATTTTTTTCTTAAAATTGTACACGTCTAAAAAGTCGCCTCCGCAGGGCCAGCAAAGAAGTGAGCTCAGAGGTCAAAGGTGCTGAGCCAGAACCTGGTAGCTGCTTGTGATTAAATCGGTCTCTCAAGTGTAGGCGAGAAAGTGATCTCAGTTCAGCCACCGATAATCACAGCAACAACAAAAAGGCCATGCCATTAAACAAGTTTGCTCTTCACTCATTTTGGCTAAAGTCCCAAATCTGATAAATATAAAAAATATTTTGGTTTAACTATCACGTGCTAAGTATTATGTTTCTGCATCCAGGTGTGTGGAATAGTGGTGACTGCAAGTGAACTAAGAAGTAAATCTGTGATGTCCACTGCTGAAATGATGCCCGAAAGAACATTCAGGGTAGAAACTGAGAAAATGCATTCTGAATTTTTTTTAATGTTGTATTACTTTTCGCGCCACAATAAATTTTGATTTCCATCTGGTCTCGCGCTGCCGCTCGCCAATCGCGAGCGCCTCCAACGTCCCTCCCAACCTCAACAGCAGTGCACGGCACACGGACTACAGCAAAGAGCAGCACTTCATCGCAGCATTTGCAGAGTGGCGTCCTCTAGCAATGAAACCAAGTTACTTTTGGGGAGGGTGACCACCGCCTCTAGGCAGCCAAATACGCTGAACACGTGTTTCCAAATGTGGAGGGGAAAAACCCGGGGGGATCCGGAGAAAACCCACACAACTACGGGGAGAACATGCAAACTCCAAATATACAGGCATCAGGGTTGGGTTTGAACCCACAACCCCACGACCTCCTGTATGCCAGGCGAGGTAGTTAACATTTTGCCACCATAGCCTGGCTAGATCTCACTTAGCCAGCAGCCTTATAAGTATTTTATCATTACTACCATGGTTACTGTTTCCACAGACTTCAATCCATGCTGCCCTTTCCTTCACACTACTTGACTTTGGAATTTCCTTCCGTCGTCTCTTTTCACAGGTTTTTGTAACCTCGCTCAACTCAAGAAATATATGAACTCTTCACCGTTACATCTTCAAAAGTCGTGTTAATTCCTGGCTACTTAGCGTTTAGGGGCTCAACAACCATGTTGAAAAATATGAGTCACAGATGGATGTTTTGCCGATTGGTCCGAACGTCTGAGTACCATGATCCCGCAATGGGGAGACCTTCATTCTTCAGTGCATTGACAAAGGGCTGCACATTTTTGAAGAGCATTTTTGAAAGTGATATCACGGATAACGTCAAGTGGTTTTGATCACGGTATTTCACTCTTATTTTCCTTGATTTGCAATTGTTAACAGTTTTTTTCTGTAACTGTGCAATGTATTTGTTTGCACTTTCCAAGAGACTGAAAAATTACGATATAAGAAACCGGTTCGGAGTGAACCGACCTTGTTAGACAAAGTGAAGGAGAGACGACCGCAGTGGTTCGGACCACGTTACGAGAACGAGCCAGGGCAAGACCATCCCCGCAGCGCTTGACGATGCGACGCACAAGTGGGAGAAAAAAACGAGTCGGGCAAGACAGAAAACCACGCGGGGCTAGATTCAGCGGTACAAGACCTAGGAGGTGACAGGTTGAGATCGAGCGAAGCAGCAATACTGGCTGAAGCAATAGAACCACGGTGGAAATTTATTTCGCCTGGCCATCGCTAACGAGCGAGCCGAAGCGACAGATGGAGATGATGAAACACAGGTCTCCCTTGATGATTAAGAGACTTGAGGCCTCAGCAGAACCTCATGTACACCCCTTTTGAAAATCCACTGCTCGATGGGGGCCTCCCCATGCCGTATGGACCATGGGGGCTTATTTACCAGACTTCACCACACTGATTTCGATTTAAAGCTTTCGTGACTGCAGGGATTCATCTTCTTGGTTCTTTCGGTAAAGTCACGTAGAATGGAAACAAAGTAATAAAAATAAAACATGATAAAATAAAATAAAACATAATAAAATAAAATAATTACTTTGTTTCCATTCTACGTGACTTTACCGAAAGAACCAAGAAGATTCACCGCACTGGTCGTCAGGGATGATGAAGGTGGAGAGCAAAGATGTGGGAGCATAGAAAGTACATTACCACATTTGATGTATTACTGCACTGCTACGATCCCTTGCCTGGTCATGAAGACCCGATGCATATACATTTGAATCATTTGGCAGGACCCGGTGGGTTCCGCAAAAATCAGGTCAATAATTATTATTTTTCAGTCCGCCCACTCGTGATCCCGACAGCAACGCGCCGCCCGCCCAGACTCGCGCCAACAAGCGCCAGCAGCAGCAGGCGGCGATCGACACGATGGGCGCCACCCCACCGGCCAATCGCGAGCCCCGGGGGGCGTCTGCCGCAGTCGCGCGCGGCGACGACGCCCTCCGGTCAGCCGTAGATCCTCAGCTTCTTTGCCAAGGCGAGCCCGCCCCCCAGGCAGTGAATTTAACGTGTTTATGTAATTTTTCAACTTTTTACGAAACTTAGTGCCCCGAGTAGCTCTCGACTAGGCCAATCGATTGACACTAGTTGTGTTGTCGGTAAGGCAAGACTCGTGTCGCTACGTGGTTTTTTCCCACCCCGGGGCAGTGATGGGACCCCGGGGTCCCGCCAATTGCTTCATTTGACGGTGTTATTGCACTGGGCCGTACCGAACACATCAGTGCACCACAAGATATTTCCACCGTGGGACGGAATTTCAGAAATTTAGCTGGAAGAATGTTTTGTGGGTTGTTGTTGAGGGCCGCACCCACAGAAAAAAGACCCTCGGTGGTAATGAACTCATGCACAAACATGTGCACATTCCATCCCAAAGACAGACACCAGGCAATCATTCAAGTGTCCACGCACGCCACCAACTGCCCATAAATTACTGAGCAGAGGCAATTGTGCATTTGGTGAAAACATTACTTTTAAACACCCCCATGATTTTGCATTAACCAACAAGAGGAATTGTTTAATGGGCTCTTAAAACAACACTGAATAAATTAGAGATTGATAATGACCTGTAGTTATACAGTTGTGGTTATACTATCAAATGTATGTAATAGTGTAGAGGGTTTGTTTGTCAATCCACTGCTGATGAATGTCTCCCCATGCCGTGCCAGTCTTGAGGATTGTTTGACCATACTTCACGATGCCGGTCACTGTGGTTCGGTGAAGGGGCGGTGGTCAGGACTGGTTCATATATCACCACTTGCTACTGATGATGTCAGCTGTTGCCTGGAATCGAACTCAGGTGGCCTGGTTTCATATCGGAGCACACGGATCACCGCGCCACCGAGTCCCCATATAATTTATGCACAGCACTCAGGATGGAGACGGCGATTGAATTCTGTCATTTTCAATGTTGGCACTAGCTCTGGGCTCAGAGATCATATGCATCACAGAACCACTGCAGGAGCGGCCGAGTGCCTACAGAGGGCAGTGAGAGCAAGTGGCATGGGAGATGATTTCCCACGGATCGATTGTCATCTTCCCTGGGAACTGCAGTTTGTTTCCTCTCTTGCACAAACAATACTCCAAGGCGGAACCGGCGCGGAATTTCAAGAAACTCCATCCTGAAACTGACTCTTGAGACTCCTCAAGGCTTTCCTGAGTAAACAACTCATAGATAAAGTGGCCGAATCTCAGAGTGGCCTCCGTCAAAAGTTTCTAATATGTACTGCCCTTTGCCAATCCACTGCTGGATGGGAGATTGAGCATACTTACAGTTTAGGTACCATGGCTGGGAGAGGAATGTAGGTCACCGGGTTCACAGCGCAGTGCACTAAACCACTAAGCCAACATTGCCCCAAGGTAACTTTTTTTTAAAATGACAATTAAAATTCGTTACTCAGCTGGTACTGTGGTTAGAGCTAGCAGTTTACAAAATGGCATGTTCTGTTTACATGACAAACCTTACTAATTGGCTGTGTTGGGTGGTGGCGGGTTTAACGGCACATTTATATATTTACGCGATCTAACCCAAAAAAAAACTGTATTATGGAAGAAGAGGTATGCAAGTTCAAATCCCCGTTGAAGTTCCACTCAGCCTTTCATCCCTCTGGGGTGAATCAAATTAGCATCGCTATTCTATTGATGGACTGGCTCCCTGCAATAGAAATGTGGAATGTACACAATTGCTTCTAAGCTCTAAATGAGCACTGCCATTGCTTGCTTGAGCAGGAAACAACTTTGACCTTTTTAATATTTGAAATAATTCACTCATCATTGAATTACTTGACATTTGAATTCATTCAAGTCTCAGCCACAGCTGACATCAGTGGTTAGTGACATCTGCAAGGGCCCTGGGCATCCACTTCAATTGCGAGTACGATCAAATAATTATCATGGCCGACAGGGCATGCATGGATAGTCGTTTGATAAAGGGCTATAAGTAATTATTTATAATTTTTGAATGTATTCATTGATTCCCTTGATATTTGAATACATTAATTTATCGTTGATTCATGAGATTTAAAAATTCATCTTCGATTCATCTCACACTTACATTAGACGGTTACCGCATCGCGCGCTTTCAGATGCGCTTCTGCGGCCATCCGGAACACTCTTCCTTCCGATATTAGGAAGCCACTGGAGCAATACACCTTTAAATCATCGAGATTGAAAACTCGTTTCTTTAGAACTGCTTTTTGTGTTTAGTTTGTTGTCCCTCCCCGCACCTCCAATTTGCACGGCTGGCTACGTACGGTGCGAAACATGTTCAACATACGTAAACAGATTAATATAATAATTAATTCATGAACTTTACATTCATCGGTGGATTGACTTGGCATTTACATTCGTGCGTTCCATTCGTCGGTCAGCCTTCCACGTGACGATGGATCGTTGTGCAATCTGTCACCGCTTTCGCTTACCCTGAACGTCGAGCACGAGGTCGTCACGGAGGCGGCTGCCGATGGTGCCGTCACTGTCGATGTACCACCGCTGCTGCGGCTTGCCGTGCTCCGGCCACAGCACCACGCGAGTGCCCTCGCGCGCCATCCCGCCCACCACCTCTAGGCATGCCTCGCTCGCCTGCACCATGCCACGAGCCAGCAGATGCAAACATCGACCGTCCAGTCTCTAATCCGGCGGTTCTTAACCTGGGGTGCACGCACCCCCTGGGGGTGTGCGAGATGTCCCTTTCAGGGGGTACAAAATGTGGCCAGATTTTTTTAGAAAGGAAAATCGTCGAAACACAAATTAAGCGCAGGCACGTAAGTACAACTGCTTTGTTTCATCAAACCGATGTATTTATTAACATTGTAAATTTTTTTACGATTGAGAATCAAAGGGGTGCAGGCTGCAGTTAAGGTTAATAACCACTCCTCTAATCGTCCTTAAGCGTTTGACTCTACATCTCTGGCCTCTCCATGTCTTGCCAATATATACTTGTTCTTTAAGAGATCTGTGTTATTTTTCGGAATGTGTTGAGGTTTTTATTTATTTATTATACGTCTTTGTGCACCCACTGTCAACAAAGTAACACCAACGTATTACAGGTCGTGCAAGCAAGTGCCGATAGCTACATCTATTAACATCTCTTCGAGGCTAGTTTTGTTTACACATTGCTGGCATAAAAATGGGTCTTGTTGCCAGAACCAATCCAGCCACCATCATCTCCCAAGTGCTGACGTTTATACTCTGCACAAGGTACTCTTTTAAGGCCAGGTTGCCCTATGGAACGCACTCAAAGGTCCCCCGTATAGCCTTAACAGACTGCTGGGGCAAGTGATGTTAGTGAGCAGCTATGAAGGCTGGCACGGCACACGAGGAGGTGGGGTGTGGCCAACACCACACTCGGCCACCACACCACGCCAGATACCCATTTGAGGCGGAGGTGAAACTAGGTGAGGTGAGGCCCTGCAATGGTTCAGATAATTGTCACTGGTGTTGGCTGTGAGCGGGAATCAAACTAGGGTGGCCAGGTTCGTGGTACAGAGCACTAACCACTGCACTACCGCTCCATACCATGTATTGGAAGGCCCAGTACATGTTCTGACACCACTTGCCACTGATTTTGTGCGTAGTCTGAAATAGGATTAGAAGTGCAGTGTGTGGACCCACTGTAGCACTGCTCAAAGCAGAGATCCCCCTCGCATAGGCAAAGACAACTGTTGGGGCAAGTCCTGTTTGTGAGGACCTATGAAAACCAGGACGGTGCGCAAGGGGGTGTGACCTGCAACTTATCAAGCCTTCTGTGTATCCTAAGTCCCGATGTTTTACACCCACCACAGCAGGTACTCATTTTATGTTGAGTCCCAGGACTGGTAAATAACACTGATGTTGACCGTGGGTGAAAATCGAACTCGGGTTGACGGGTTTGTAGCGAGGTGCATTGATCACCGCAAATACCGCTCCCCACATTACACAAAGACAAAGATCCCCCGTAAAGCCTGAACAAACTTTTGGGATAAGTGCTGTGAGCGAGCACCTACGAAGGCCAGCATGGCACACGAGGGGGTGAGTGGCCAACACCACGCCCGGTCACCTTTGTCTGCCTAGTGGCGATGTTTACACATGGTACCAAGGTACTAATTTGATGCTAAGTCGACCTAGGGGATGCCCAGAACCAGTTCGGATAATTTTCACTGGTGTTGGCCGTGAGCGGGAATCGAACCCAGGTCACCAGGTCCATAGCACAACACCCTAACCGCTGCACTCACGTCCGCCACAACACACACATACACACGAACACATGCACGCACGCACGCACGCACACATTTCGTACGAACCAAGCTACGCAGGAATCCATCCTGGAAGAGCCAAAGCTGCGTGGATTTGCCGCAATCAGGGAGAAGGCAAACGGACACGCCGCGCGGGTCCGCCAGGTCCCCCTTCACGGTCAGTACGCCGTCCTGGCCCTGGTTCCTAACACGCACGCACACACCCGACTGTGCTTGGGCAGGGGGGGGGGGGGGAGAGGAGGGGGTGGGGTGCACGCACACACATTACCGCTGGCCCTCTCCACCAGCGCGACATCTCCTCAAGCCACTTTGTTGGCAACCTCGTCGCTGGATGTGCTCCGCCAGTTATCCTCGGCAACTGCCTTCGCACCCAGCGACGTTTCGTATTCATGACATTTTTGTTCATAAATAGCACAAGGCTACCGCGAAGGCGCTGTGTTTCACAGACGAGTATAGTCTGTCAATAGGGGGGCGATGTTGCCGCATGGGTAACTTATGGGATAATTTTTTTTTTTATTTGGTAAATTTTGATCGTGTTGCCAGCACACAGTGGCCTACTCGTATTTGAGTCATGTCACGGAATCTTAAACGTGCACTGTGACACAGTCGGTACGCAAATTATGGTTTTCTCCAGCCAAGGCCCACTGAGCTATATAGCTCTTTTTCAGAAGCCACCTGACCACAAATGACAGCTCAACTAAGTGGCTTATCACGTGGAAATGTATAGCAGCCAGATACTTTAAACACATGTCTCTAAATATGGAGGAAAATACCGGAGGACCCGGAGAAAAATCCACGCGACCACGGCGAGAACATGCAAACTCCAAATATACAGCAGCAGGCGTCAGGGTCGGGATCGAACCCACGACCTCCTGTATACCAGGCGAGGGAGTTAACATCTCGTCACTGTCACGTGACGCCCATACACCTGCAGTACTAACCAGGGCAGCCGCTGAGCTCGAACCGCAAACATCTGCAGCCAGCGTTAAAACCCGCGATCGCCCAACCATGTCGGCGATGAGAAGCATAATCCTCAGTAGGTCCCACTCGGTGATACATTTTTCCAGGAAATTAGTGATGTTAATACGATTGTCAGTGAAGTGCCTTTCATTTTAGTCAACAGTGAACTATGAGAGTGGACAAAATCACCCAGCAGGAAATGACCCTCCAAAAGACCAAAGCACAAGAGACTATGAAGAGATTAAATTAACAACTTCTGAATTGAGAAGCAGACAATGATTATTTAGTAACGTTATTAGGGACCCCAGTGCACTGACACAGACCAAAAATGGTAATTAGCTTCAGATGTGTTTATCATTTTTGTTTACTGAGTTCACTGATTGGCTGATTTGATAACATTGGCGAAGAACTGGGTTAGGGGAAATTGCATACCCCTCATACCAACGTACTTTTTTTGTATGTTTTTACTAATAATAGTTATTCTTTTTATTCAAGAACCCAGAACACAGACATGACAGAGGGAGGTACAAATTACGAACAAGTGTCAAACTCGGAACAATAAACCCTCAAATGGGGGGCCGTGTGGAGCCAGCATTTAATAACTGAGAGCGTTTGACAAAAAGCTTAGACTGCTCTAGTCGACGGGCCTACGAGAATTACTCAATGAAATCCACAGACTGAGACTTGATTAAAACTCCGCAAGGTTGCCATCAACTAGACCGGGACTACGACTAGAACTCAAAAGCGTTGACTCCATCAACACCGGTCCCCACCTGTTTCAGGGGCCGGATGGAACCGAGTCGGCCCCAGGAGCTCCGCTGCTTCCAGTCGGGGGTTTCCGACGGCTCCAGCAGCAGCTGACGCCCTTGGAAGTTAGGGAACTCAAACGCCACCCAACTGCACAAGTAAAACAAAAAAAAACACAGGGTGATATCGTGAGTCGAGCATTCTTCTAGAGCATGGCTTCGCACAGCCAATCACACGTAACTCCGTGCGCCCGCGTCTGATAGCCAAGGCGCGGCTCCTCGGAGGAATCTGAAGGACGTCTTCAATGCCCCCACCGAGCTGGCGAGCTTCACAATGTTTTCGCGCGTGCAGTGCCCTTCGGTCTGCTCCCCGTGACACCCGCTTCCTCCTCTGAATGTCCACTTGAAGCTGCCATGGGTGCTATACGGGTCAGTTGCTTGAGGGTGGACCATCGTGTTCGTGGCAGGTTTAAGCCAAGGGGGCCCTCAAGGGTTGGGTTGGTGCCGAGACGTTAAATTGGGGCGTCACTGTTCGACCACAACTGTCACGATTGTCCCTTGGGGTTGACAACTACCGTAGTGGTGAAGAGGCGGTGCTGAGATTACAGACGGCGCCCTTCAAATTGTAACAGCAAAAGTTAATTGTTCATGTTTGTTGTGCAAAGCGCTTCTGATGAAAAGAGGCAAACATTGAAACGATTGCAGACGAACAGCAATTGATTTGAACCATCAAATTGCCTCAATTCAAATGAGACTTGGCATATGTATGCTACTTCTGGGACTGGCTCAGCCAGTTTGCTACAGTACGGAAGCTCACAGCTGTGTTGGGTGCGATGGTTATGCATGCCTGCACAATCGTTCCTCAGTCATGAGCTCCCTATTAACACAACGTGTATGAAAATACAATTTAGATTTGGAAAATATTGAACGAGGTAGGTATACATGCGCATTAAAAGGCCCATGGGGATTTCAAAAATAAGAATAGGAATCGTATTATTTAGGGGAGGGTTGAGGGGGTAAGAGGCTGTAGGGCGGACAAGGAGAAATTAGCGTATGGTAAAGTGAAGCTGAAGATACTTTGTAGAAGGGAGTCAGTCATACACAGAGGGAAAAGTGAAGGTCTTGAGGATTGTCACAGGTAGACTTCTATATTTGGGGAGGCAGGGGTTCGCTTTGTCCCTCACATTAGGAATCGCGGGTGCATATAATTAATTCGTTTATTTGTAATCTGAATTGTGAACTGCAGAAAATAAATTGACAAAGCTGTTGCGCCCCCCCCCATACCCTCCCCCCCACAAACTCCGTCCATGGTCTTGAGCATAGAAAAGTGGGCAGGGAGTCGGCAGTGCAGTCAAAGGGCTGGAGACTTTCCCTATTACAGCGGCAGTGAAAAAGGAGCAACCTCCCATTCGAGGTGGACCTGGGTGGGGGGGCTTCTACATATGGCCTCGGTCTCTGGATCGGAGAGCGTGTGAAGGGGGGCAAGATGACGTGGGAAGGGAAAGCAGGGGTGTGACTCCACAGTAGATCTTGTGGAAAATCGCCACCTTGGTTGCGATGCACGGCAATATCGCACTGGCTAGATACATGGGCTATTGGTAGTAAACTGTCCTTTATCCGTAAAACAAACACAGATAAATACGTAAATTATGCTATACAAATGTTGTTCACCTACTTAGAATTGGGGTGAAGAAGCAGAAAAAGTGTCAGCGTTGATGTCTTTTCCTTTTTTGAAAAAATATATTTTGCAAGAACCCAACCGTACAATCTTCTGACCAAACAAAATACACAACACCGAACGGAACCAGAAGACCGGTTGTACTAATACCAGAGACGAGACGTCAAGAAACGGCGACTCAAGACGGCTCGGACACGTACTCGGAATGATGGACCAGGATCTTATACCAATAATTGGCCCTCTACGATGGACACCACCGGGCAGAAGGAAACCTGGGAGACCGAAGACCACCTGGCGCAAGACCGTGAAGGACGAGCCGGCAGCAGCGGTCAACCTCTCTTGGGGCAAGGCTCAATACGTTGCCAAAGACAGGAAGAAGTAGTGAAGGGCCTCACGTCCAATAGGAGATGAAGAGGATCAACTCACCAACTAACCTGACAGTCCTTCGAGCGGCATACCTGAGAACCAAACGTGCAACGAACAGAGGTATCGTGCTTTTGGGTATGGGACCTATAGGGGAAGGTTGACTTCGCCTGCATGCCACTGGGGGGGGGGGGGAATGACTGTGTGACACGTATTTATAATGGGTGATATTGTTTCTTAAAGTAATCCGCCACTGGGTCTCAAGTGAAAAGGGCGCAAAAGGTGTGAATAAGCAGGGAATGCCACATATATTAACATGTTCTTCCTTAAATTTTGATTTAAAGCTTTCGTGACTGCAGTAATTCATATTCTTAGTTTTTTCGGTAAAGTCACGTTGAAGAGAAACAACAAAATAACAAATTATATATAAAACAATAAAAAATTCTCACGACGTTTCGACCATAACTCAAACGGTCATCATCAGGTGTGTTGGTTTGCATAAATTTATTTTTAAAAACGGCACATTTATTTATTTATAAAAAAAACGTTGGCGTCACGCGCAGCAATTGGCAGTTTGCCCAGGACTAGTCCATCTATTTTTTTGAAAAGAGGAGGGAGACGAAATTTTTTATAATGTATGCTGTCTGAAAGCCACTGTAAGCGTGAACAATCAATCAAGAACTGAAATGATTTATCAAATCTTTCCAATGATTGCTAAGATAGAATCCATCTTCTCGGTTGAAATTGTCTCTGTGCTTGTATATGTGGATAGCCTCATGAACGAATCTCTCATGGAAGCCAGATGGCTTACAAAGAACCTCCGTCTTGGAAAAGTCAATGGCATGTGAGCCTACTGAATTAGAACAATGATCTGCTACGGCCGAGGTGTTGGTCCTACCGTGTTTAAGGTCTGCTTTATGTTCATGAATGCGGTCCGAGACATGGCGTTTGGTTTCTCCAATGTAACTACTACCACAGAGGCAACTTAGTTTGTAGACACCAGGGTATTGTATGTCCGGAATCACATCTTTTACAGACGGAACCAGATCACGGATTTTATGTAATGTGTTGAAACGGACCTGGATCTTGTGTTTATTCAAGATTTTGGAGATCTTTTTTGTGATCCCAGCAATGTAGGGTAAAGTGATGGTTTTGAAAGGCTCCTCAAGAGGGTTCTTCTTCATGGTTTGAGTGATAGCTTTGCGGATTGTATAGTCTGAGTAACCGTTAGCCCTAAGAGCTTGGTGTACGTGCTTGAGTTCACTGTTTATGTGTTCCTGGTCGGATATGCATTGGGCTCTATGATACAGAGTCTTGATGAGAGAATTCTTCTGTGATGGTGGTGGAAACCGGATTCCCACCACCATCCATCACAGAAGAATTCTCTCATCAAGACTCTGTATCATAGAGCCCAATGCATATCCGACCAGGAACACATAAACAGTGAACTCAAGCACGTACACCAAGCTCTTAGGGCTAATGGTTACTCCGACTATACAATCCGCAAAGCTATCACTCAAACCATGAAGAAGAACCCTCTTGAGGAGCCTTTCAAAACCATCACTTTACCCTACATTGCTGGGATCACAAAAAAGATCTCCAAAATCTTGAATAAACACAAGATCCAGGTCCGTTTCAACACATTACATAAAATCCGTGATCTGGTTCCATCTGTAAAAGATGTGATTCCGGACATACAATACCCTGGTGTCTACAAACTAAGTTGCCTCTGTGGTAGTAGTTACATTGGAGAAACCAAACGCCATGTCTCGGACCGCATTCGTGAACATAAAGCAGACCTTAAACACGGTAGGACCAACACCTCGGCCGTAGCAGATCATTGTTCTAATTCAGTAGGCTCACATGCCATTGACTTTTCCAAGATGGAGGTTCTTTGTAAGCCATCTGGCTTCCATGAGAGATTCGTTCATGAGGCTATCCACATATACAAGCACAGAGACAATTTCAACCGAGAAGATGGATTCTATCTTAGCAATCATTGGAAAGATTTGATAAATCATTTCAGTTCTTGATTGATTGTTCACGCTTACAGTGGCTTTCAGACAGCATACATTATAAAAAATTTCGTCTCCCCCCTCCTCTTTAAAAAAAAAATAGATGGACTAGTCCTGGGCAAACTGCCAATCGCTGCGCGTGACGCCAACGGTTTTTTTTTATAAATAAATAAATGTGCCGTTTTTAAAAATAAATTTATGCAAACCAACACACCTGATGATGACCGTTTGAGTTATGGTCGAAACGTCGTGAGAATTTTTTATTGTTTTATATATAATTTGTTATTTTGTTGTTTCTCTTCAACGTGACTTTACCGAAAAAACTAAGAATATGTTCTTCCTTACTTAGGAAAAGCACGGTTTATCCGCAACCCGGAAGAAACTGGCTATGCACGCGGGCTCGGAAATTAGAGCACTCGGATCAGTGAAAGAAACGCCAATCGGAGACATTCACATTCACCGTTACGAGAAGATGGCGTGGACAAGGTACATTGTTGAAAGGGATTATGGACAAAGCTTAGTATGCCCGAGAGGATGGCCACTGCAGAGATGGTGGAGCAGTGAGATCAGTTCAAATGCAGGAGTATGATAGATTGTGGTACCGCATGACTGCATTGGATGGCGAAGATTTGAAGGAGGCCTTCCATTGTTGGAGGCATTCCTTTGGCCACTGTCTATACAGAAGTGGATAGAAAACGGCAGCAAAGTGGAAAGCCAGTGACAAATATCTGATCATGATAATGAATAGGACTCATCCCGGAGAGATTCCAAGATCCCCACGGATGACGGGGAGTCAGCTGCATGCGTACTACGGGGAGTGGATCGCCGCTTACAGCCCGCCGTGGACGTGGAGCGAGCGCACGCAGCCTCCACCGCCGAGGGTGTCCAGGCTCGGGGTCGCCTCCTCCAGCACCATCTCCCGGCCACGGAGGTCCTCGTGCGAGAAGAGGCTGATGGACGGCTCCGAGAAGACCTGCGCGAGCGGGCCGCATTGCGCAGTGAGACGCAGGTGCTCGCTTGCGTCTGTACCCTAGCTTCTTTTGCCAGACACCTCTCGCTCTCGTAATAATATTTGTGTTTTTTTTCGTTTAACGACCACGTTTGCTGGTTGTGCAAAATTCCTCAAGGACTCTGTTGCTTGTTGGTTTCCACAACGTCGATGCTTTTGTATTATGCGTTCATTGCTGCTGCTGCTGCGGCTGCGTCTGCGTTTACGCACCTCCGATTAGCACGGTTGGCTACGTAGGGCGCGAAAGAAGTTCAACACACGCACATACACGCATACTACGGATCTCCGTTGTAAAATATCCAGGAAGCTGCCACAACGGGACCATCCATTCAAGGAATCAAATAAACTCGAACCGAAAAGCGCAATGCAGCGTAGATGAGCGCTCAGCTCATGCTTCTGCGCAAGGGTCGATGCATACTGGTGAAGCAAACAGTGTCGATATCTTACACAAACTAAAGCTCCCAGCGTGTGGAGGGACATCCTTTCGAACAATACACTGAATGACCGGAACGTACAGCGGAGAGCTACACAGCACAACCGCAAACACCTACCTAGTAATACAGCAAACATTATTTGATTAATTAATAGAATCAGGGCTTCATTTCACCTGCGTCTCTCACCAAGCATACCTCTCGCTGTGGTTACACGTCACGTGGCTATGCCAGTGAATCCGGAACTGGTTGTAGGGCTGTAATAAGCAAATGACATGCCGTGGTGTGGAATCGGTAGCTACTTAAGCCAACCATGCTAATTGCACCTCTGATTAGGACGGTTTGCTAAGCTCGGTGCGAAAGAAGTTCAACATACATACATACTTACGATAGGAATTGGCCGAAGAGACTTGATCTGAGCGTCGAGCGAGAAAAATGCTTCTGGGCATGAGTAGCAGCCCTCCTCCAGAATGAATTCCCTCCCAGAGAAGTCATCATTGCTGTATAGGACCCAGCTGCACAGAGCACAAAACACAGCGAAAAGCCCACTGAGCTACTTGAGCTTATTTTTCAGAAGCGACCTGGCCACAAATGATAGCTCAATAAAGTGGCTTATCGTGTGGAAATTTACAGCAGCAAATTCATCGAAATAATCTAAACGCATGTAATGTGGAGGGACAAAAAATATCCACGCAACCACAAAGAGAAGATGCAAACTCCAAATATACAGGCGTCAAGGGTTGGGATCGAACGGCCGACCTCCTGCATACCCGGTGAGGAAGATCGCATCCCAACAACCTTGGCGCCCCTCACACCACCGTGGTGCCCCACCTTGGGAGAACTTTTCACCGTATGCCTGACGTCACAATGAGTAAAGGGCACAGGCACGCACTTACCAGCCCTTCAACACTCGCGCGGAGCCAACCGTGGACCAGCCTTCGGGCAGGGTCTTAAAATCGGCATCCGCGAGGCGATGCATCCCTGAGAAATCTCTCTGCGAGTACACCTCCATCTGAACACACACAAAGGAACGGGGAGCGGCGTTGTAAAATGTGTCCGAGGGAATACACGTAACGTTCCCACGCACAACCATCCTTGCCTCCCCATCAAGGGAGCCGATGAAAGAAGCAGCGGCTTGTCACAGGATTCACCGATTATATGCAAAAGTGTGAACACGTGTCAGAGAATGTGTGACTCGGTCAAGAGAGAACGTGGCTGAAAAAAAAAAAACGCCCTCGTCTTGTAGACAGGAGCCTAGTCTGTGCATGCTTCACTTACCGGCACAATTCAGAGTCTTCCTCGATAACAAATACTTTTCAGTTATTTTTATAATCACGCGTAACACATCCTGGCGCTGAAGTGATGCATTAAAACTTAACGGCAGTCACACCACAAATTGTTTTTCTTTCTCATTTAACGGAGAGTAAAACTGCAAGGCAACAGGGTGGAGACCGAAAAAATAAATAGATGTAGAAAGAGATCGTTCCAAACGTTGAACCACAATATGAAGAAATCGCGGAGAGGAGGAGGAGGCCTAACGGCGGGATGAGTGGCGGTGGACGACCAGTGAGGCAAAGACCGCACGTGAGTCGGCAGAAAAATGCCAGAACGGCTTAAAAACTTGTCAGAAAGTCTAGGCCACACAGCCCGGGTGAGCTGCTTGTTGATTGGGCTACATCTTTGTTCAAATGGAAGCTCAGCAGATGTTTATTTAAAAAATGCAAAGATAGTGACATTGGTGTTGAGTGTAGCCATTGACGTCTCGGGGATTTTGTGCAATATCAAGACTTGGTCACGCCCTTACCGCATGCCATTTGGAAGTCGGAGAAAAAAGAACCGAAACTGAATTTGGGGATGGTTTCTTTATTTGAGAAGATTCAACAACAACCTCAACATTATATAATCTTACCTTGGCTTTAGAACTCATTTCCACACTTCGCTCCTAGAACACAAAAATAAAAAAGCGCAGAATTAAAACCAACAAGGAAAGCGTCCCACTCGCACGATGGCCCACTTGCCACCATCTCAATTTCAGCTGTCACAGCAAAAGGATACGTACGCGTGTGCGGTAAGAGAGCCAGGGGATTGTGCGAGGGGCGAGTCTCACCAGTCGGACAGGCCTAATGGAGGACAGAGTGGGACCTTGGCCACCCCAGTCCGCCGGTGTTGCGTAATATCCTTTCTCCAGGACGAACATCTGGCCCATGAAATCCTCGAGCTCAAACGCGACCCACCTGTGCGCGCAACGCACACACACAGAGCAGCCAGTAACACATACACAGAAAGGCGGACGTTTTAATTAGAAATTGCAGTGTAATATTTGACGCGTTCTTTCTGTACGTATGTATGCAAGCCGAACTTCTTTCGCACCAGTACGGAGCCAACCATGCTCATCGGAGGTGCAAATATATATATATGAGTAAGGGATGACAAACCATAAACTCTGTTGGTAAAACGTGCATCGCTGTAGCTCACTTGACTCTTCTCAAGTAATACAGATAGACCTGTACCAGCAAGGCAAAAAGCCAAACAGGTGCTCGGTTACCATGACAATCCACTTGCGCACCTTTGACCCAAGTTCAAGAGATCGCCTCTTAGGGAAGTGTTCTTCGCAAAATTTCAGAGGGAGGCCACTTTTTCCAATAAGACATCATCAGTGTGAGGACCGCCACACATTTGAAACCATTGGGAGTTTGACAGCTGCACGATCATGATGATGATGTGGTGTCAGGGGCAGCACTAATGGCCACTAGGGGGCCACCAGTGGCGAGTGGGCCTTGCAATGAAGAACAACCGTGCTAGGGGGTAGCTCGGCCAAATATTCCACATCCTGGAAGTTACCCACACTTTACCCCACCAAACGTGACCTGTCAATCCACTAACTGTGATGTAGCCATTCACACTGCTGGGTGAACAAGAGACTATCAGGAATAACAAAAAATACTTTTTTGTTTTATATCTACACAAAACTAAACTTTTTTATTTTACCAGGTAAGGCCCACTGCGCAATGGAGCTTTTTCAGAAGCGACCTGGCCACAAATTGATAGTTCAACGAAGTGGCTTATCACGTGGTAATTTATAGCAGCCAAATACACTAAACGCATATTTAGGAATGTGGAGGGAAAAACCGGAGGACCTGGAAAAAAAATCCACGCGACCATGGGGAGAGAGACACGCAAACTCCAAATATACAGGCGCCAGGTTTTTGGATCGAATCTACAACCTCTTGCATACCACGTGAGGGAGTTAACATCTCGGCAGCGTCGCGAACCAGGAGATCAAACCGGTGGACCAACTGGATTGCAAGTCCAGCATGCCGACCACCCATTCACCACGGCACGATGTGAAGCCATTCCTAGAGCGAACGCGTGCAGGGGGTGAGGGGTGGTGGACGTGACTCACACGCCGCGCTCGACGGAGATGGAGGTGGTGGTGGGCGCGTAGCCGACCGCTTCTACGTCCGTCAACGAGTCTCCCTCCACGCTCAACTCTCGGCCCTCGGGTGAGCCGGGCAGCTCCAGGAGCACCACCCGCGGCTCCGCAAAGTCCTGCAGCGCACAACATCGACAGCAGCTTCCGATGAGCACGGTTGGCTTCGTACATACATACGTACACACAACATACAACAACAAGGATCCCCCCCCTATAGCCTTGTAGCCTCAACAGACGAGCCACCAGACCTCCAAAGAGGCTACTAAACGGCTTAATGACATCGATATATAAATACACACACGTATGTTGCAAGAAGAACAGACTGTTGGGGCTAATGTGGTTAGCGAGCACCTATGAAGGTCCAAGACGGCATACGAAGGGGTGGTGTGGCTGCAAACATGCCCGGCCACCTTTGTCTCCCCAATGCTGTTGTTACACAGAGCACGAGGTACTTATTTTTAGGCCGAGTAGACCTACGGGAGGCCTAGGACTGATTTTGATTTTCGCAACTGATTTTGGCCAACCATTAGATCTTTTAACAGATTTCGAGACAGCAGGGCTCACCTGATTGAGTCTCTCACTTCTCTGAAGAGATGCCGTGACACCAAGGTAATACCGATCGCCTTATTTTTGTTTTCATGCTGATCACAAGTATTGTGGTGAATACAGACATAATTAGCCGAGGTATTCCTAGCTCTGTGATCTTGAATTAACTTGCAAATTCCATCTCTAGCCCCGCCTACTCCAAGCATATATAACTTTTGGTTGCAGTGGCTCTGCAATTGGCTCAAACAGCTCTCTCACGATATTTTTCTCAACGGTCCACCAGCTGTATTTGTTCACCTGAGGACGATCGCCTGTGTTGCGATCGAAACGTCGTGGTTTTTTACCTTTTTATTAATTTCTATCTACGTGACTTTACCGAAAGAACCAAAGAATATAAAATAATAATGGTATTTTTTTTAAAAACCAGGCAGGTGTCTCGTGTCTCACGAGTCTTTTCCATTTTGGCCCTGCATACCGTCAACGAAGCATTGGCTTGTGGGAGGAATGGGGTGCAACCGGTGACCCTCAGCACTGCCATCCCCTGGCCACCTCACAGCCCCATGCCGACAACACCTGGGCAAGCCCCGGTGGCCACAATTTGTCCATAAGCAAAATAACGTGTGATGTACTTACAGCAAATATGGGTCTTATGGAGGAAAGTGTCTCATTGCAGCCTCCCCACTCTTGCCAGCTGTGGTATTCACCTTCCTCCAGGATATACTGCCGACCGGAAAAATTAGGACCTTCGTAACCAACCCACCTACAACGACAGAGGCACTCATTGTTAGCCTGCCTATGTCTATTCGAGGAAGCGCTGCTGACAACTGACAGTGTAACATTAATAATAGTTTAGTGTAACTGGTATTCGCACCATTCTTATGGTGCAAGGCTATTCCCAAGGCACCACGTTTTCGCAGACGAGTATAGTCTGCAGTGATTTCAAGCGGGGGGCAATATTCCTATGTGGCTTAAGCCCAATTAACGTGTTTCCAAATCTGGAAAATTTAGACCCCGATGCCAGCACAGATGGCAGACTTGTTTTCAAATAATGTCACGAGATCTCCGATGTCCACTGTGAAGTGGACAGCGAGTACTGTTGGTTAATACACCCCACAGTATTAACCAGGGCGGCTAATGGGCTCAAACCGCGAACCTCTGCAACAAGCGGCAACCATGTCACTGCACAGTACAGCGGGCGAAGGGTGGTGTGCCCACTACATAAATAATTGACAGGCCTCCACAACAGAATGCATGTTCACTATGGAGATGGAGTTCGCACCTCCGATTATCACGGTTGGCTACGTACGGTGCGAAAGAAGTTCAACACACGTGCATGCACGGAGTGATGAGATCAGAAAATTTGTAGGAATGACAGAGATTGTGGCATTCGTGGGGCCATGCGGGATGGTGATGGCATTGAGAGGCCTTCGTGCAGCTGTGAATGACTTCTGATGATGATGACGAGACTGGGATAGATGCAACTGGGACCAATCTGCTGCAGGGCAATACGCGGTGCGTCAAGGTAGCGCGGTGCACACGTGGACGCTCACACTCCGGCCCTGACGCGGATGGAAGCGACTCTCCCGGGAGAGTCTTCCCCGAAAACTCCGCCCAGCGTGGGAATCTCCAAAAACGCCTCCTTCTGCTGCCCTTCAAAATTCGGCTCCTCGTACAAAATCACCTGCGGGGGTCAACAGGCGAAGGTCAAAGTGCACCTTTTCTCAAATGAACAAACCAAGAAACTCAACACATTCGTCAACAGGGCTGCCCAACAAGGAAGTGTATTGTATGTAGAGTTATGTATTTGACGACGTTTCGGCCATTGGCTCTTCTTCACAGTGGCGAGATGTTAACTACCGCGCCTGGTTTACAGGAGATCGTGGGTTCGATCCAATTACGACGCCTGCATATTTGGAGTTTGCATGTTCTCCCCGTGGTCGCGTCGATTTTTCTCCGGGTCCTCTGGTTTTTCCCTCCACATTTAGCAACGCGCGTTTAGAGCATTTGGCTGCTTTAAAGGTCCACGTGATAAGCCACTTCGTTAAACTATTATTAGTGACCAGGTCGCTTCTGAAAAAGAGCTATATCGCTAAATAAAACAAGTTAGTTTTTACAAAAATAGTTTATAGGCTATTGCCTGAAACGTTGTCTATGTGGGCAATGAGCCACAGACCACTGATGGGTAAGGAGCACCTGAGGTGTGAAATGCGCGCACTTCCGACTTGCACGGTTGGCTACGTACAGTGCGAAATAATTTCTAAAATACATACGTGTACAATATTATGTTATTTCCCATGGCGGTTAATCCAAAATCTTGAAAATGTAACGTTTAGCTGCAACCATCCGTTAGACAGGTAAGACCCTCGCTCACAGTTATATATGACAGGGCTAGACTGTGCCAAGGGCTTCGGTAAGAAGAAGAAAAAGAAGAAGACATTGAATGTGTTTCAATGCTCAATGAAGCCATCATGCCACAGGGTGTTGAAGAATAGTAACATCGACTCTCTACCTTCGCTTCATTCGGCCTCTCCACTTTGATTTCTCCCTGTAATAAAATCAAACAAAACAATTAATGTTAAGCGTCATTCACGACATGTACTCGTTCTACACAAGAAGTATTGGGTGCTACAGTCATTTCGGAAGAGCTCAGACCTAAAGTGTTTTTTTTATGTTTTTGTCATTTCCTTAAGTAAAATGTTGGTATCAAAGGTCAGTTTGATGATTACTGCATTCGGAAAGAGAGTTCAGCAACTTGATTTCTTTAAATTTATTCTAATACGAATGTTGGGTCTATATCAGGCTAATATCCAAATTACGCTTAATCTGCATTGATTTAGATAAAGGATTTCATCGACGGCAGTCATGGAAATTCCACATTCCTATGGTGAGGACCCATTTTTGCATAGAAACAACCACCACTGACTTATGACTAAATGGCGAAGTATCACCCGGTGGTACTCGCTTTGCCAGCCCTAGATGTTTGATAACGATGGGACTGAGTTGACCTGAACACGATTATGACTCTCCATCTCATGAACAGGAGTGCTGTGTTGCTTTACTACCTTAAAACATAATTCCAAATACTCTCAATGTGACCTGATCACTCGAATGATCAACCGATAACAAACAAATTGAATGCATTCGTCAATAACAATGCCTTAAAGGAAAAAAAAACATGACAGGTAATATTTTCCTCATAGGATATGTCATCTATTATTCAACGGTTTTACTCAACTTGACTCCTGTGTACTGGTCAAATCTTGTAATCAAAAGTTAGTCTACTTCTTGTTGCCCAATCAATTCCAAATTTGGCACACGTACTCAGATCCGGTGACAATGCATGCCTGTATCAAAATCGGCATCAATTAATCAATTAGTTCGCTACTTTAAAGCAATTTACATTTTGTATGGACGCCTTATTATTTATAGAGATTTGTGCAGGTCAAAAACGCCGCGGTCCCTAAACTCTCAAATCGCCTCGCCCAAGAAGCAGGCGCCACATCTCTCAGGCGCGCCTGTGTGTGAATAAAACCGTTGTTTAAAAAAAAAAACTTTTTTTAAGGAGTTTATATATTTGTATCTTTTAAGGCGGTGTTGTTGACGGATGTGTTAAGTAAGTTTTTGTTGTTATTATTCATGCTTGTGCACCTCTGCCAACGCAGCAGCAATATATACATCGTGTTTATTTTTTTAGAAGAACTGACAATAAGTACAGTATTCAACTGCTTAAATGATCGGATGTCCCGGGTCTGGCCAAGAAAAACTCCTCCGGCCACGATGTTCGGCGGAGGGCTTTGGACCGCACCACTAACGAGAGGCCGTACCATTTTGAGGGGCCGCAGGGATCCTATGCGAGGCTGCATCCCATCCCAACAATCCATCGTGGGGTATTCCCCAGGCTCAAGGATGCTGATGAGCTCCATGTAGTGGAATCCCAGGTACAGCAGCCACCTGAGATGGGAGAAACAGCCAGGAATAACAAAGTGTTATCGTCAGCACGAACGTTTTTTGCGGGAGTTATCATATGTGGCTGTCAGAGATGGCTGGCGGCAGTTCCGAGGGCAGAGAGCTGAGCTGGCACTGCTGAGGCCCTTGGGTTTTCGAATCCAGGCAGCTGCCTGTGACAAAACCAGGTTCTCAAGTGTGCAGAGTTGATGGTCTCAGCCCGGTTGCCAATGACTGCACAAACAAAGCATGGTTCTTCACTTAACCCATTCCCGTTCCGAGACGTCTGCAAGTTGCAGAGTGGGCGTTCCGTTCACCGCTGAATCTCGGAACGAGCAAACGGTTAGCATTAATTTTGTTTAGAGATGCGTAGCGCCGTCGTTTTTAAAGCCATTGTACTCGCCGCAGAGAACCGTAGCGACACGATGGCCCTCTACGATAGCTGGCACCAAACTGTCCCACACCCGCTCCCGCATGGCCTTGTGGGAGCCTCGGTACGTATTTCTTCCTCCGATTCCATTCGAATGATGTAGGCGTACGTCATCGAAATGGGAACTCTTAATTGGGCTAAATTCAAGCTCTGAGCAAAAAAAAACGTGATTTGACTGTCACTCGCTGAACATTACTCTCAGTTGCAGCGCGAGTAGGAAAGTGTGTGGACCAGAGGTCACTGAAAAGGGATTTCAAATGTTCCTCTGTGGTATTTGCTTATGTGGACTGTTCTCTAACACGAATTGTTGCACTGTTCTGCACCAGTTCCAAGTGGATTGTTTGTTCTAGATTTGAAGTTTTCGTGACTGCAAGGATCCATACTCTTTGGTTCTTTCGGTAAAGTCACGTAGGCGGGGGGGAAAATATATAAATAAATAAATAAATAGCGGCGTTTCGATTGCGACACAAGCAATCATCATCAGGTGTGATAACCACAGCAAGAAAATTTGAAAGAAGTGGCGGTTTTTTTTTTAGGGCAGAGAGGCCAGGGTTAGGGCAGTTAAATAAGTCAGAGAGGGGGAGAGTAGGGGGGGGGGGTGAATGGTGTGAGGGGTGCGTAAACTGCAGGTACACCAAAGACGCCGGTGTACCGGCAGTTTACACGCCCCCCTACCCTCCCCCTCTCTGACTTCTTTAACTGCCCTAACCCTGGTCTCTCTCCCACTTCAGTAAAAATTCCCTTGCTGTGGTTATCACACCTGATGATGATTGCTTGTGTTGCAATCGAAACGTCGTGATTTATTAATATCTATTTATTTATTACTTTTTCACCTACGTGACTTTACCGAAAGAACCAAAGAGTATGGATTGTTTGTCTCCTGACATAACCCCACTAGCAGAAGCTGGATACAATTGGGAACAAAGACAGTGTAAAAGACAACTCGTCTTAAAAGCACAATCTGGGGATGAAGACATTGGAAGATTACGCGCGATTCCTCTATTGCACATCTGGAGTACAGAGACTCGGAGGTAGGGTTTTTGGACCGTAATCAGATGGTGACCACGTGATACGTCCACTTGCACAGCAACAAGTGCGCTTATTCACGATTTGAAAAGCAAGTGGGGTTCTTAATAATCCATGTGTGCGGTATTTGTCTACCCCTTGCATGTTGAAGCGTGTGTCGCTGACCTTACTGGTGCCGAGAGTTTATCTGGGCTTCTTTTTCTACCCTTCAGTAAGAACGCTTGTGAGTTTGGTTTGGGTGTTCTCTCGCATGCATGCATGCATGATTATTCTCCAAATATTAAACTGTGCGATCCTGCACAGCAGACTACCCGACCTCCAAGGTCTGCTGTTATAGCATCCTCGCAGATATCTATCGAACCCTTTTTACAAATATCAATAATACAGGAGGTATTAAGATGTTCAAACATCAAATAGACACAAATTGCAAGGCATTAAGTCTGATATATTTATAAATGGTTTGTTCTTTAAACTGATCGGCCTACATCAGAGACAGCCTCCTTTATGGCCTTGTCTCAGCAGTGTTAGACCAGTGAACACCAAAATGTGAACAGCACAAAGCCAATGCAAGTATCAAAGCATTAATAGCTTGGGTTGAGAAGTTATATTCATAGGATGCAGGGGGGAGCTGTGGAAGAGTGGTTAGCGCACAGCACTATAAACCTGGAAACCTAATACTGATAAAAGGAGTTGATATTCTTGGTTCTTTCGGTAAAGTCACGTAGAAGGGAAACAATAAAATAATAATAGTTTTATGATTTTATTGTTTCCCTTCTAATATTTGTATTATTTTGTTTCCCTTCTATGTGACTTTACCGAAAGAACCAAGAATATGAATCCCTGCAGTCACGAAAGCATTAAATCAAAAGGAGTTGACTTCATGGCTAACATCAGTGGCGAGTGATATATGAACCGGTCCTAGCCCCTCCACCTGCCCCCCCCAACTCCTCGCCAACCCATACTGACCAGCATGGTGAAGTAAGGTCAAAGAACCTCCCCCGGATCAACAGAGCATGAGGAGGCCTTAATCCAGCAGTAGATTGATAATGAACTGTAAATAATTATTACGTCAATATGATGCACAGTGGTTCTTCGAATTAAAATTATCACAATTTATGACTCATGGTGAGTCTACCTGAAGTCCCACAAGAGGGGTCCCTGTGCTGTGGAGAGATGTTGGGGAGTCACATGGTGTAGGGATTGCGCTGTAGTTGTAGCGTGACATCGTGGCTTTTGAACGTGGCTGCTGATCTCAGGCACGAGGTCTGCCGTCGCTACTTCATCGCATTTCGGACAACGGAACTCACACGCCAGAGTTGACGATGATGGAGGAGACGGTCGGCTGCATTCCGTAAACTTCCACCTTCTCCGCGTCGTCGCACACAATGATGTCTGTCCCCCGGAACTCCTCCTCCGAGAAGAGCACGATCTCCGGCATGGAGTGGTCCTGTGGCAGGGGGAGGAATGGAGACAGAGATACCTTTTTTATATATATATATATTTTTATTTTGCCAGGTAAAGCCCAACTGAGCTATACAGCTCTTTATTCAGAAGCAACCTGGCTATCACAAATTATAGTTCAACGAAGTGGCTTATCATGTGGAAATTTACAGCAGCCAAATACTCTAAATGCGTGTTTATTCTAAATGTGGAGGGAAAAACCCGGAGCACCCCGGAGGAAAAATCCACACGACCACGGGGAGAACATGCAAACTCCAAATATACAGGGGTCAGGGTGGAACCCACAACCTCCTGTATACCAGGCAAAGGAGTTAATATCTTGCCTGCCTCCTCGCCTGCCCACTCATCTGTCATTGATGACCCAAAGGAAGAGGATGGGCCCACCTCCTTCTAACCAACCCTTCACCCATCATCTCATCGTCATCATCATCGTGGACTTCTACCCTCAATGTAAACGGTATGTAAAGTTAATTTGATGTATATGTTTTTATGTATTTTTATTTTGTGTGTGTAATGTACTGTAGTTTATTCGTGTGTAGAGAATAAACAGGCAACTTAGTTAAGCTATGACGAGTCGACCAGAAAACCCTTGCACGGAGTTTGCTCGACCGCGGCCGTGGCTCCAAACCCCCTATTTCCCATAAGCCCCTGCACTTTACCAACCACGCATTTGCCTACTGCGTCCTTTGCCAGGAATCTACCCCCCCCCCGCCGCCCATGGCGGTTGGCGAGGGATTGCTGTACACGTGAGCTGGCACTTTTAACTGGACGGATGTCTGCTGCTTCACGCACATGCCTGCCGTCGCCCCCTCTCTCCAGTTTCCGTGTGGTAACCTGAGCCACGCGGCTCACAGCTGACAAAAATCACACCCTCGCTTGACAGGAGCGTGACACACACACACTCTGACTCACAATAGCAGTCGGAGAGAACAATAAAACTTATATCCAGGCTTCAATTTAATTTTTTACATTTACGCCCGGTTCATACCTTATCGAAACGGGTTTTGCTGAAATCTCTGCAGTATCAAGATTAAAACGCAACACGCATTCTCAAACAATCATAATGCTACACGAGTATGCCGACCGAAAAATAATTACAATATTTGTGTTGGCACTCTGATGGAATGTGAAACCACACCTTCTGCATTGAGACAGATAAGAGCTATGGAGGGATAGTCCACTGCCTTTTGCAATGAATGCCCTTTCTTCAAAAGAAAAAAACTTTTCAAGAGAAAAACCACTCGACAATGAACGCCTCGATTGTCAGTTGCTGAATGGCAGCAATGAACATTGTACAACGTGCAAAGATACTTACAGGTAAAGGTGTGACTGCACAATGCTCACGTCACTTTTGACAAGGGGGACTTCTCACTCTCTTCAAAGCATGGGGCACGGCAACACTTTACAAGGTTGGGGTGGGGGGGTGTCCAACTAGCGAGTGGTTCCCAGCGGTTATTGGTTAAGATTGTGCTGCCACGGGCCCATAGGGCTGCGGTGATGCCGGGGGCTTCTACGGCACTATGCGATTCCAACAAAACCCGCGCAACTACTGCTGTCGACTAGGCGCTGAGGCTGCTGTTTATGCGCGACTGTTTATCTAAAATAACACAGGTTCTTTTTGGGGGGGGTTAGATCACGTAAATATAAATGTCGTTAACCCACCTGACGCAGCCAATCAGTAATGGTTTGTCACGTAAACAGAACATGCCGACTCGTTAGGAGTACGGCACACCGGTGTGTTGGAGAACAATTAAATATTTTATTTCTGGGACACTATTTTTTTTCCGGGGGTGTACTTAACTCCGCGACTGGGGTACCAATCAATCCGAAATCAGTGCCACTCGGCAATGTCGAAACGCAGCGAGGAGATTGCGCTGAAACCCTGATCGCTCGTACGCACCGTAGTGGTGCATCGTAGTGTACAGCTCGTCGAGATGAGTCAATTGCCGCATCGCCAACCATCAACAAACTAAAAATGACTGCGTCACGGACATTGTGCGAGAGCCGGGGTACTGCCACAAGGTTCAAATGTAATGTGACGGCTTTTTTGTGTTTAGTCATTGTTAACCATGACGAGACCATCATCTTGTTACACTCCAGAACTCGGTTTAATCACAGGCAGCTGCCTGGATTCAAACCCAGGATCTCAGCGCTGTCTGCTCAGCACTTTCACCTCTGAGCAACCCTATCCACCTCTCAAATCGTGTTACTGCTAAGAAACGTGGATAGTTGGGACCTGCACCCGAGTATAACTATCTGTATAAATTGACCTTACTTTGGCAGCAGTGACTCAAGCAAGCCTCGGATTAGCACGGTTGGCTACGTACGGTGTGAAAGAAGTTCAACATACATACATACAAGCCTGCATGTCGAAACCGGTCTAGAGTTTGCTCGTATATGAATCAATGCCGTTGAAATGATGCACTCCCAGAAGGGGCGTGGGGCCGATAGGGTTGTGCGAAAGAATACTGTTGTTTTGTTTGTGGAGAGACATATACGTTAAGAAGACAAATGGAGCGCTTATCCATTTCGTTGTTTATATTCTCCGCGACGACGCGAACGACTGTTTCACGTCATTACTTTGACGACGCGCTTGATGGACCCAATGACGATCTTCGGCTCCTTGGGCTCGCCATCCTCCTCCGCCTTGCCCTGATCGATCCTCCCCACCATGGGCCCACCCACAAACCCTTGTTCCTCTGCAAGCATCTCCCCCCACGGATCCGTCATCTCCTCCTCTCCCTCCTCCAGCGCAAAGCACTCGCCCGTGAAGCCCGACTCGCGATACACAAGCCACCTGCAGCACACAGAAAAAAAAACTAAAGACAAAGGTCCCCCGTACAGCCTTAACAGACTGTTGGGGGCAAGTGCTGTTAGCGAGTAGCACAAATGAGGACCGGAACGGCACATGAGGGGGGTGGGTGGCCAGCACCAAGCCCAACCGCCTTAGTCTCCCCAGTGGCGATCACACCAGGTACTCATTTGAGAATGAGTCGACCTAGGGAAGGCCCAGGACCGGTTCGGATAATCGTCACTGGTGTTGGCCATGAGCAGGAATCTAACTGGGGTCGCCGGGTTCATAGCGCAGCGCGCTAACCGCTACACTACCGCTCCACCTGCGGCACACACACACACACAAATATCCCCCGTATAGCCTTTAACAGAATTGTTGGGGCAAGTGCTGTTAGCGAGCACCTATGAAGGACAGCATGGCAGATAATGGGGTGGGTGGCTAACACCACGCCTCGGCTGCCTTGGTCTCCGCCAGTTTGTTGATGTATACACACCGCAGCAGGTACTCATTTAAGGCCGACCTGCCCTAGGGGATGCCCAGGACCGATTGAAATATTTGACACTGTAACGAGCGCAATTTGTTAACTTAAGAACGCACGCGGTGAAAACGGACTATTAGGTAATGCCGTACTGTACTTGCATAGCGCGCACTACTGAGTCCAATTGTGAGGACCTACCTACCAAATGAGGATCTGATGCAGCTGAAACATCAATCTGGGGGAAGAGGCTAATGAAACGGTACCACCATCGCGAATATTCACTGGCGTTTACTGCTACAAGGAGCTGAAGAAGAAGACAGATTTTTGTTTAAAACGTTTTGCAATCAAGCCAGAGGGTCTGAAGGAGAGCACAAAAGAGGGGCAGCTTCCGCTGGTGAACATTCCTGTGGCTCCAGCTTCATCGTCAGATGAAGAGGCAGCTGATGGCACCCCTTTGTCTGCGGAACTCCATCACTGGTCACCCCCAAGGGGCATCGATCAGCAAACTGCTCGACCATCTCTGGTAAGCTTAATCGAATTATTTGTATTTATTATTCGTTAAGATGTATGTTAACTTGTAACCATATGCATTTTTGTACACTTCATGACAAGCAGTCACGCACTTATTTTTCACCATAAATATCTTCTCGGAGTAGCATTTCCCAATAACGCATTCTGTTATACACAGCGGGATATTCCTGTAATGGCCTAGTTCTGATTGCTTTAAACATTATTTTCAAAAGTCCTGTATCAAATTGCCAATATAAGTTTTGATTCATAATAATAACTTTTGATATTAGTGAACCTAGCTTGAGCATTTTCACCTTTTTTTCATTTCCCTGGAGTCTTTCAGCTCAGTTACCCCATCGATACCGTCTGAGGAATCTGCTTTGGTGCTGCAGGTCTCAGACCCACGTGCTGCAGGGGACCTCCACCTCACCTGGACCCTCTCTGCTCGCCAGCGGGAGTCCAGCGCTTGCCCCGGGTTGCCCCTCATAGGGGCAACCCAGTGGAGCAACCCAGTGGGGCAACCCAGTGGGGCAACCCAATGGGGCAACCCAGTGGGGCAACCCAATGGGGCAACCCAGTGGGCAACCCAGTGAGGTAACCCAATGGGGCAACCCAGTGGGCAACCCAGTGAGGTAACCCAGTGGGGCAACCCAATGGGGCAACCCAGTGGGCAACCCAGTGAGGCAACCCAGTGGGCAACCCAGTGGGGCAACCCAGTGGGGCAACCCAATGAGGCAACCCAGTGGGGCAACCCAGTGGGGCAACCCAGTGAGGTAACCCAGTGGGCATCCAGTAGGGCAATCCAATGGGACAACCCAGTGGGCAACCCAGTGGGCAACCCAGTGGGGTAAACCAGTGGAGCAAACCAGTAGACAACCCAGTGTGGCAACCCAGTGGGGTAAACCAGTGGAGCAACCCAGTGGGACAACCCAGTGGAGCAAACCAGTGGGGAAACCCAATGGTTTCACCCAATGGGGCAACCCAGTGGGCCAACCCAATAGGGCAACCCAAAGGGGCAATCCAGTGGGCCACCCAGTGGGGTAACCCAGTGGGGTAACCCAGTGGGCACCCAGTGGGGTAACCCAGTGGGACAACCCAGTGGGCACCCAGTGGGGTAACCCAGTGGGCACCCAGTGGGGTAACCCAGTGGGACAACCCAGTGGGCACCCAGTGGGGTAACCCAGTGGGGTAACCGAATGGGGAAACCCAGTGGGGCAACCCAGTGGGGCAACACACAACAGGGCAAGCCAGTGGTTGACTCTTTAACCACACCATTGCCGCCATTCTCTGTGGCTCATGCTTTTTATTTTACACGAATCTATTTACTGTTGCGCCAAATATGCGTCGGCGAGGTTCGCGAAAACGCTGCGAATGCGGGTCCCGCTGGCCTTAATGCCAGCCTGCAATCGTGGCACTCTTAGGCGCGCGCACATGACCATGTTGTACTGAAAAGAACCGCCAGCGCCAAAATGGGGAGAAGGCGAGTGCGAGTGGGTGCGCCTTGCACAGAACACGGAATTGAGAGACGCTCGGCGCGTTTCAGCGTCGGGTGAACAGTCGCGGGCTGCGCGAAGTCTCGCCGTTCCCGTGGAGTGGAGCGTGGTTGTACGGTGCCCCCCCCCCCCCCCCTCCACCGACCTCAGAGAGGTTTGGGAACAAAACCGTGGCTCGTGGCCCCACTGTGGCTTAGGGCAGCGAATGCGCGGGGCCACGTGAGTGGTGAACGCGCGGGGGTTTAACAGCTCACCCGCCTCGCACCACCCTCAGCGAGATGGTGGCGGGGAGATCCCAGGACGTCGCGTCAGCGACGTCCGTGAACAGCTCGATCTTCTTGCCGGTAAAGCCCGGCTCGTAGAAAATCACCATCTGCGGCAACAAGGGCAGAAGCGTCAGTAAAACCAAGGTAAAAGGGGCAGGCGTGCGATTCTTTATTTTGCCACTGATGGCTTGAAGGACTGAAACTAAACACTGGCCCAATGGATGGATGTGTGTGTGTGTGTATTGTGGGGAGTGGGAGTGTAGCGGAAAGCGCGCTGCACTACAAACCCGGCAACCGGGGTTCAGTTCTCGCTTCTAGCCAACACCAAGTGACGATTATATGAACCGGTCCTGGGCCTCCCCTAGGTTGACTCAGCCTCAAATGAGATCCTGAGCGGTGTGTTAAAACATCGCCAATGGGGATACAAAAGCGGTCGAGCGTGGTGCTGGCCACCCCCGTGTACCATGCTTGCCTTCATAGGTGCTCACTAACAGTACTTGCCCCAACAGTCTGTTACGGATAAACGGGGGATCTTTGTCTTTTGTATGTATGTTGAACTTATTTCGTACCCTACGTAACCAACCGTGCTAATCAGAGGTGCGGGGGGGGGGAAGAACAACACAAACACAACAAAAAATGTCTTTGTTGAGGTGGGAGTACCCACACTTTGTACTCCACCCCGCACGACCTGGATGATCGACCAGATTTTATCACGTTTGTGGACCTGTTTGCTATGTATGCGTAATTCAATAAAGCCTGTATAGCCATGCGAATGAGAGGGTCCATCTCAAGGGATTTTCCAGTTGATATATATCATTAAATAAAATAATTCGTAGGCATACCCCCATTTGATATATATTATTAAATAAAATAACCGTGGCGTACCCATTCAAAGTGCTTTCCACTATGAAAGGCCTGACATGTGAATTCCTGTCTTTCCTATCCAGCGGGGTGTGCATGTTATTACGCAAGGAACTAAAACGAAAGAGAATGTGAGTTGGAAAGGTGCCCAGATTAAGGGCGAGGTGGGGATAGTATTCGTGTTAGGGTAGGACACGTTCTCGTGGAAGGCTGGCTAGTTTTGTAGCATTAGCAGTAGGTTTGGCTCCTGCATTCCACTCAAAAACGATGTTTATTTTCTACCATCCTAATGCCCCAATTGAGCGTGGGTCATTCTCGTTTTGTTTGCTTTTCATTACTTGTGTTCACGGGGCACTACCTGTTACTTATAAAACATTTACAGCGGTTGCAATTGAGTAACTCATCAGCAATACAACGAGGTGGCACCTGTAGGGTACAGCACCGGCAAGCAGATTTCTGACAAGCTGTCTGCTTAGAACAGGAGTGCAAACCTACAGGCTGCGGGCAGGTAATAGCCCACAACTTAATACGGCCACATGACGCCTGCCACCTCAAAACTGCCTGCAAACAATATTTATCCATCGCCACGAGCATCCTAATATGGACTAATTGGGTACGAGAGAGGTATGTTTTCTACCTGCCAATGCTGTTTCAACATATATCACGCTCATTCACCTGTTGCCTATCAAAATGGATCAAAGTTCAGCGTCCACTTCTACTGTGTGGCCATGCCAAAGGTAGTATTTAAAAGTCCTCTTCGGCCCCCAACAATGAAAAGGTTCCCTGGCACTGGCCTGGCGTCTACGTGTGCTCCCATCACACACGTGGGCCTAGTCCAGGGCACTCGAGCTTATCCCAAAATGCATGAAAAAAAGTTTCCTTCAAATGTCCAGTTTATTCCAAAATGCATAAAACAAATTGTCAAATGTCGAAAACAAAATGAGCCGGTGGACCCGTGGAGGACGTTAATGCGTGGACGTAGAAACAATTACGGGTGCAGTGTTTTGACACGTTGACAATGTGAGCAACAAGAGTGCGGACCAGCAATGCTCAGAAGAGGGTGGCGGACGACTGAAGCTCAGCAAGTTGCCAGAGCAGCCTAACACAGGTGGTGCGTTAGTCAATCACTTCAGTCAACCCATAACACCTGGGGGCCTATTCCGGTGACGTGCCAGCGAACCTACTTACATTCACGTGGTCTTAAATTGTACGTAGCCTGGCACAAGCAATGTGGTGATGTCACCGCCGCATAGTGGCGAATAGTGGCTGTTGTTGTGTGAACGTAGGCGTTTCTGTGTGTATTTGTGTATACGTGCCTGTATAAATGTAAGTCTTCGTGTAGTTTGCGTGTGTATGTATGTCTATACAGTGTGCATTTGGCTCCTGAAGGGGCGCTACTCGGCGGTTGGAGGCACTTGCACTCCAACAACAATGGAGGGCGGAGGAGTGATGCTCACAACAACGAGCAGACCGTCGGGTAGCTAAAACACAGAAGTTTCAGACAGTGAGGAATATAGGTGGCAGGAGCATCTGCCAATCATCTCAGTCAGACAACTCATAGCACCTGGGCCTGTCTCATGACCTCTTGCCAGCGAGCCTTCCATGCTTAACGTGGTCTAAAAGTGCACCTAGCCTGGCACAAGCACCACGATGATATCATAGCCACTTTGTGGCGAATGACAGCTATTGTTGTGTAGTGTATGCATCTGTGTGTAGGCTGTTTGGGGGCACTTCAACAGTGAAATGTCATGGTCATGTAGGAGTACAGTATCGTATACAAATGTAATACGGTGGCTCAGTCAAGATTAATTTGGGCTTACTACTAACAAAGCTTTTATGAATTAGAAAATGACACCTGAGTGACTCACCCATATACGTGAGTAATGCGCGTTTTGGCAATACAGAAGCAACCACAACCCACACTGAGCTGTCCCAAGATCCTGATGCCAACTCAACCGCTCTTCTGTACTTTCAAGCCCAAAATATGCAGCTCTGCAATTGCCTGCTTATTCCACTGCTGGAGGAAAGGCCTCCACTAGAGGGAGCTGTAGAGAGTTCCTGGGAGCCAGGGTGGTGAAATGTTAACTACCTCAACTGGTATGCAGGAGGTCGTGGGGTCAATCCCGACCCTGAAGCCTGGATATTTGGAGTTTGCATCTCTCTCTCGCCGTGGTCATGTCGATTTTTCTCTGGGTCCACCGATTTTCCCCTCCACATTTAGAATCGACAAGCGTTTAGAGTATTTGGCTGCTATAAATTTCCACGCAGTATGCAACTTTGTTGAGCTGTCATCTGTGATAGCCAGGTCGCTCTGAAAAATGTCTACACAGCTCAGTGGGCCTTATCTGGTAAAAATAAAAAAAAGAGTTCAGTGTTATAGTTTAGTGTTGCTCAGACGTCTGGAAGAAGTGGAGCTACCCACAGTCTACACCACCACACATAACCTGCCGCACCTCCGATTAGCACGGTTGGCTACGTAGGCTGTAAAATACGCATACTGACGATCAACTGGACAGTCTGTGAGTGTAGCAATGTCAAGCTGTTTGGCGGACAGGCGGGAGAGGTTTTTTTTTTTAAAGAATCTCTCCTTTATTGTTTTAACAGCCTGTGCAGGACGATTGAACGTGGCAGACCTCTGAGTTGTGGGTCTAGTATGGCAACAATGTCGCAATGGCAGCAGTGCAGTAATAATACTGTACTGCAGTTGGTCGTCCGGAGAGAGTTTGGAATCAGTAAAACCCTTTAACAATGACACAATGGTACTGTATAGCAGTGTCTAAACAAGTTAACCCATGGGTATATGGTGCGGATACAAACGGAAGGTCATTATGTGTTTGTCGAAAGGATATACATTTCTCGACCTCATCCGCCACATTTGCAGTGCATTGCACAAAGCTTAACTATTCTCAAAACTTACTTTAGTTTTGTTTTTTGCACCGACAGTTCATGGTCCACACAAGAGTGCTATTTTCCAATACCACCTCATAAACCGGCAGTATATGTTTTACACGTGTGCTGATGAGCCCCAGAAGGGTGAAACTGGTCTGAAGTTCAACCAACGTCCATTGTTAACATCAGCATGTAAGGCCAAAAGGCTGATTGGACTAAAACACATACAAACTTTTATGCGGAGATACAGAACTGATGGTGAAAGTGTAGTTTGAACCAGCATCACATCCGAGCGGTTTATTTACAAGAAGAATGGCAGTCCTAATAATCTATTTAAGCACACATCACAGTATTCGCTCGTTATTCGCGTGGAAAACATTCCGGGGATGCTTGCGAATAGCAAATTTTGCGGGTGATACTGGCCGACGAAAACCAAACTTTTATTTCATCAGCTTATCTACCATCACTTTATGCCCCCTCACCACTCTATCTCATCGCTTTTCTCTCTCTCAATGTAGTCCATGCAGAGTTCCAGATGCGATTTTAGGATAGCCAAAATCGTGGATAGCAAGTTCGTGCATAATGAGGAAATTACTGCAATTACATTTTCAGCTCATTATATTCAGGTATTTCACATACGGGTTTGGTAGTGATTTTCTACACTCATATATCTCTATGAATAATTATAATAATAGCTCTTTAAGGCAGGTAACAGTAAATACTTCTTGAGACCAATCCTGGACAGTTAATTCCTTAACTGATTCGTATGCATGTTGTGGAGATGTTCTCACCAATTATATTCCAAACGTGTGATTGTAGTCACGTTACGAAGGTAAATAAACTTATGTCGGAAATATGACGTGTTTTATTTACTCCTGAAAGGGTCACTGAGCCACAAAGACGATTCTGTCAGGAGGGCCCCTGCATTGGAGATGTTTGACCAATCTCTCCAATATTAGGAGGGTCTGGCATGTTGGAGGAATCATGAGTTTGTAACAAACACACACAATATGAGGGGACAAATAACAACAACAAAAACTCAGAAAAAATTCGTCAAAAACAGTGTGGCATTTAAAGGAAAAAATATTTAAGAGGCGACGTTACGGGCATTAATGACTCTTCTGCATAGCAGATAGCAAAGGACGTGCTATGAAGAAGGACCATTTCCATAAATCATTTCCTATTATATGTTTTCCTTCTCATGCAGCGGTCGTTTAAAAATGCATCGAATTTTTGTTTGTTATTTGTGCTTATGCATCACTGCCAACGCAGCATCACAAAAATAATTACATTGCGAGGGGCGTAACACTCAAAGCGACACACAAATAGATCAGTCACCCATTGCTATAGTAGCCCCCCCTCGCAACCCAAGCTCATAGCACCTGGGATTCCCAGGCAGTCTCATATCTAAGTACTGACCACACACGAGCCTGCTCTGCAAACAAGATCGACAATTTCCAAAGATCGGCAATATGTTACGTTTTACTCCAGTGAAATCACATAGCAAGTATGAAATTGTTGGTGCATCAGGCCTCTATCACCCAACATGAGACAGTGCCAGCCCTTCGTTTCTCTCTAGATAATGATTTGCTGCATGCTCACCACACAGATGTATGTTGAATTTCTTCCCCGCCGTACGTAGCCAACCGTGCAAATGGGAGGTGGGATTAACTACATTATTACAAGAACGTTTGGCCATTTTCAGAGGTGGGGGGCACTTTCGCCGATAAGTCATCATCAGTGTGCAATGCACAACGTCGGTGTAGTCACTGGTCGGTAGCCGGACTGAGACCACCAAACTCACGAGAACCCGGTTTGATCACCAGTGAAGGAATCAGAACACGGGATCTCAGCATGACTGGGCCCTGCTTTTCGACGAAGCCCTTGATCCTCCCAGCCACCTCTATTATTAGAACGTTAATTGGAAACAAATTGTAGTCTTCTCGAATCTTTCGTCATTTTCCCACCACCTCATCTTTCAAGACGAAATCACAAATCACAGGGGTCAGCGACTGTGCTCGGCTGTAAGGGGTTATTTACGGTAATTGATTTGAATTAATAAATGTTGGCATTCCTGGACCGCGCTGAACTGTTCTCACGAGGTTTTTGTTGACAAGCAGCAAATCGCCATCTACAAACTATACTGGTGAGTTGGGATAAGCGATTCATTCTTGCATCTATCCGAATGAGAGTCCTGATTATAATTAATCGCTCGTACCCACGGGGGTATCTCCGCATACTCCATTTTCCTCCCACGTGCCAAATGGTTAAATGTAATTGGCTAAGCGATCCCATGCAGGACCCTCCTTGAAATGATAGTCTTGAGACTCAATTAGGATTTTCTTGGGCAAAACACAATGACAGTAACGTTACAGCGTAAAAGCGACGCTCCAGTCGTACCTTTCCCGGCCTTGGGTTCACTTGTCTTTCACCTTCCATTGCCGGATCCTGCAGGAGAGATCACAAATGCCCAAATTGCTACAGAGCTGCATCATCATCATTATTAGCCATGATCAATACACTGCTTGATGAAGCCCCCCCCGCCCAAGCCGCTGCCGCTCCTCCCAATCCTACTATGCAAAAAAATCCATACAGCAACCCAAGCAGAGCATGCTGCAGCCTATAAAATAGGCTGCAAAGAAATACAATCGAGGAGTCGGGCATTGGCAGTAAACTACAGTTGCTCTGCGACATTAGCTTGTAGGTCACGTGCGCGTCTCAGAGAGTAAAAAAAAAGAGGAAATAAAATAACACGAGCAAACTTTTGTCTTGCGACTAACTGCAGCGTTTACAAGGAGGCTGTACGTGAAAAGCATAACACATCAAGTGCACGCTCACGAATTACTAATTCTCATTAACCGTTGTGTGCTGCTATCGCCTCGACTTTGCAGGTGGCTTTGTACATCGAAGAACGCGAAATTAATCGAGCGTGCTAATTGCACGACCGTTATAACTGTGGGTATTTTTTTGGTTTGTTACGACGCGCTGCCGATTTCGCGGCAACCGCTTGCCATTGCTTCAAACAGCAACGCGCGATGCACAAGAGGCTGACACACACACAAAAACCAAATTTCCCATGCCGACATTGTTTCACTTCGACATTCAGTTTCGTACATCTAAAAAATACAACAGCAATCAAACGTGTCAATTGGTAAAGACAAAGCACGCATATGGCAGAAACAAATCGATATCTGTGTATTATCAATAAATATACATCACTTGACACTGACAACTGTTAAAAACAACGAAACGGCAATGCAAACAAAAGCTCAGGAATCCTCACGTAACCTGCGCCCCGCGCGCATTAAGTTAAAGGTGCAGCTCTGCAGGTGCACGGTGGGACTTTAAACTAGGAAGGACAAACTCACTTGGGGAGCTCCGTTGGTGGGGCCTTGCGGGAACATGCCGGGCTGCGGTTGGTCGGGGAAGCTGCCGAACGCCAGCAGTTGCTCGGGACCCGGCAAGGCTTCTTGCAGGAGGTTGCTGCCCCCGGATCCTTTGCGCCCGAGAGCCGCTGCGGAAGTCATATCCCTCAAGGGAGACGCAAGCTCCAGGGCAGCCCCGTGTGAGCCCAGCTGCTGCTGCTGCTGCTGCCTGCTCCCTTCGAAACTCTGGACAGCAGCCGAAGCGTGGCCGCTCAGCGGTGGCGGCAGCGTTGGCACGCCGCCACCGTCCTTGCCGGCCGTGCCAAAGTCTCCGAGCTGGGAAAGCGCGGACGCGCCAGGGGCAAACGCACCTCTGGGAGATGTCACCCTCGTGTCCGCTCCCTCGTGCGCCGCCCTGGTGCCCGGAAGTCTCGGGCTTGGCCAGACGTCCGCGGGTTCCGACGTTTGCACCGGGCTGCGCGGTTCCAGGCCGCTGGCGTCAAAGCCTTTCAGCAAGAGCGAGGACTGCTTGTAGAGGTTCGAGAATTTGTTGTGGGGGGACGGGCCCGGGGCGCCACTTTCACCTTTGCCCTCAGCGTCCTCGTTGAGCTGCCCCGCTCTGTCCTTGCCGAAACCGTTGTGCAGGCTCTGGTGGCCCACCATGGACTTCAAGCTGCGGTTTTTGATCTGCTCCTTCAAGAAGTTCATCGTCTTCGTCTTTTGGAAGTCGACCGAAGGCAGTTCGGACTTGGTGCCGCTCTTCAAGGACCAAAGGTTCACATTTTGCTGGTCGTCCGGCGGCTGCGGACGCTCGCTCGTCCTTCCTCCACCCCCGTCCTCCTCGGCGACTCCGGGAGCGCCTGTACTTTCGCCGAATCCGCTCGCCAGCGGCGACAACTTTGGGCTCTTGCTCGCGAGGGCTACGTCCCCCGGGGGGAAATACTTCTGCCTTCTGGCGGCCCCCGCCGACTCTTCGTCACCCCCCTCCTCCTCCAAGTCCTCCTCCTTAATGGGCGACAGCAGAGAGAACTGCTCAAATGCCGGGTTTTGCCGGGAGGGCCGCCCCCCGTTGTCCGCTGTGTCTGGCGCTGCCGTCCCCTCCTGGAACATGTTCTCGATCACCTCCACCTCGGCGCACATCTCCATGGGCGAAGGCCTCGGCAGGTAACACCGAAAACCTGGCAGCTCGATCGGGACGGCGGCGTCGTCCGCGCTCTGTAGCACCGAGAGCGCCCCGTCGGCTGGAGCTTCACCGGCGCCTCCTCCATCAGGTAACGCGCAGTTACCTGCACTAACCTCGACATGTTCCGCAGTGGCTGCGTTGATGACAGGCTGCTGCTGCTGCTGTTGCTGCTGCTGCGGTTGCTGCTGCTGCTGAAGTTGCTGCTGCTGTTGTTGCTGTTGTCCATCAGTGATATTTTCAAACTGCGTTCCAGCTTTTATGAAGGTCGAGCTCTCTGCGCTGACCATATCCGGGGGCTGCAATGGCTGCGGCGCTTTTTCCTCCACTCCCAACGAAGGATTTCCTAGCGATGCACTCGCAGCTTGCTCGGCATCCATGGGACCTGCCTCAACATGCTGTCGTGAAGGTTCTCCTTGGACTTTAGCGTGAGTTCCGCTTCTGCTGCTGCTGGTATCTGAGAGCAAAGGCATGCTCTGTGCTGCAGGCTCACCAGTCAGTGTGGCTTTTGTGGGAGTGTCTACTTTGACTGAATTAATATCCTGTGATGGTTCAGCAGCAGCGCTGGCTTTCAAGAGGCTTTGTGTTTGCTCGACTGTCACGACCTTGTTAATATCCAGGATGCTCGAGATGACTTCTGTACCAGAACCGGTTATACTGCAAAGGTCCTTGACAATTATTACGTCCATTTTTGTTTCCTTCTCGGCAGCCACTGCACAGACATCGCCTGCTGCTACTGCTGCCACCACTTCAGGTGTCTCCCCGTCTCTTAATTGATTCGCTGCCGACGACCGATCAACATTTTTGTTTACGTTAACAGGCACGCCCAAACGCGGCGTGTCTGAACCTGAGGCGGTGGTGGTGGCGGCGGCGGCGGCGGCGGCGGCGGCATACGAGACACCCTCCTCAACCATTCTGGGTTTCTTCACTGAACTCTCAGGCCCTGGAGGCACGGCAGGGCTCTTGCCCACACGCTCGCGATCCGGTGCTCGCAGCTCCGCTTGATTATCCTGCTTGCGCAAGACGCCCGCGACATTCCCTTCGCCCTCGGGCGCCGCGGGATCAGACGCCGGGTCCTCTCCCCCATTCTTTGCGCCACCCTGAATGGGCAGGGAGGCGCCCATGTCATCGCCACGACTGGTGAGCTGACGGCCGCCGCTCGCTGGAGTTTGCGTTGCCCCCTCCGTAGCGTCTGACTCTGCCACACCGGGCGCTGCTTTCTGATCGGCGGATTCCTCTGGCATGTTGCACGCTTTCTCACGCGTGGAATTCAGCCCGCCCTCGGGTTTGGTCTCCGAATCACCGGAGAGGACTTTGTCCTGTTTATAAATGGGTTTGGCTTCCGCGGGCTTTGACGTCGGCATTTTTCTAGAGATAACCGGGCTTCGTTGGCTCGCCTCCTCGGTGGCTTTTGGCGACGCCCTGGAGTTAATGTCACTGCCCGTGAATGGGTTAGACCTACGGTCCCGCGTGTTTATTCTCACCTTGCCCACACCACTCACGGCGTCAGAGTCTTTCTCTTTCGGACTCGACGGAGGCGAGCTGCCCTTTGACGAAGTCACCTGGGAAATCCGATTGCCCTGAACCACCACCGTCTTCTTGGTATTGGTGTGCTGCGAAATCTGCGTTTTCACGGACTGAGAATTCTCGTTGTCAAAAATCGTCGACGAGCCGGGGCCCACTTTGTCCTTGGGCGTCACGATCTCCTCGATCGTCACGATTTCCGTTTCCTCAATCACCACCTCCTTGGGATGATTCCCTTGACCCTGGCCGTCGGCCGCCTGCCCCGCAGTCCCTTGCTCGGATGCGGCCAGCGTCGCCTTGGCCTTGAGAGAGCGGACGGCCTCTCCGTCCTCCTTGCCATTTCCCCTGGGCAGCCTCCCTGGGGTCTTCCTCAGCACCTTGCTCCTCTCCGCTCCGTTCGCACTTCTCGCGGCGTCTGACTGGGACGCCTCCTCCGAGTTGTTCGCCTCGCTGGCCGAAGCGGACTCTGCCCCATTGTCGTCGAACAACTTGGAGTTGGGCCGAGGCCTCTTCTTCAGCTTTGCGGCGCCCTGGTACGTGGCGTACGACACCGAACCGCCCCGGGGGCCCGTTTCCGGCCCTTCCATTGGAGCCTCCTTCATCCTCGACGCTGCGCCGGGTGCTCGGGGTTCACCACCCGCATCCTCGACACCCTCCATGGGCTCCTCTCCTCCTCGCGCACGGCTCGGGCCCACGCCTGTCATCACAGCCTGCCGACCCGTTTCCGTAGATTTTAAAGGAGAGGGTCGGTCTTTCTGAGGCCTGACCAGCCTGATCGTCTTCTCCGTCTTGTGTTCCTCCTCCGTGTCATTTCGCGCTTGCTTCGCGGCCTCAATGGATGCGGCCGACCGGGCCACCTTGGCAGGTGGATTGAAGAGGTTTACGGTGGGTTTCCTGCAAACGAAATGAAATCGGTCACCGATGACACAGCCACTTTCACATATTTAGCCAGGATCGCATTCATTCCCAAGACTAATTTTCAAGGGGGTGCTGCTTTGTCAAGTTTGGCCAATTGATGTTTGCATATAATTTGTGTGTGCCAGTTACAATCCAAACTATAAGAGGGCAGACTACTCCCATAAATAATACTTTGCAGTCTTTTGTGAATCGCCTGCTGGACAAAGGCCTCCCCGCGCAGTGCAATGAGTGTTCTTTGGTTATACTTCACCACACTGGTCGGTACAAGTTGGCGGAAGCAAGTGCCCAGGACTAGTTTGAATATCACGCCACTGATGTTTGCAAGTGGCCAGGTATTGACTTCAGATCACTGGATAAAGAGCACAGTGGGCTAACCACCATTCTTCTCGATGATTAAGAGTGACGTTTGGGTAATAGGAAAATGATGAACTCTTTAAGTACATCATTATAATCTGCTAAGCAGTTAAAAGGGCGAGAATTCCCCCCCCCCTACCCGTAAGACTATTTTGGAGATAGAGTAGCTTCGAGTAACATGCGTTTGGAGACACAGTCACGTGTCGTTGTGTAAGAATACAAAAGAAAAACTCCATGACGATTATTAGTGAAAGCAACAACAAAGAAAGTCAACACATTCGTCCACAACGCCGTTTGCTTTAAAAGGATAAATCTATAATAGGTGGACGTTTTTGGGCATCGGCCTTTCATCATGGAACACGTTTGTTATGAAGATGGGCCACTGTCCGAAATGTCACCAAAATTATTTCAGCACGAATGTGTTGAGTTTTGTTGTTGTTGTTAATTGTGCATCACTGCCAACGCAGCAACAACATCACCAAAAAATGTGTTAAGTCGGTCGGTGACACATGCTTTTGTTATACATCGATGTGCCCACAATCGGTATGAGAGCTGCAGAGGTAATCATTCAGCCACGCCGGTTTCGGTACGCACAGAGTCACAAAGAGACACGACGCATCCCATTGAAAACCTTCAATTATTGAGTTCGGATTTCAAGTTGAGATGAACAATAACTGCACACACACATAGTTATCATGAATTATTAGTGAAATATTAGTTAAACATGATTAAAAAAAAAAGCTGTTTCAAAAGTCTGGAACTATGGCATGAAATTCTAAGAAAACTTTCCACTCCAATGAGAATGGAGCAGTGCTAATTTCCTTTTTACAGCACCGCGCCAGTGACAGAAATTCCACATCCCCATGGTAGGAATGCGCGCAAAGTGGCACCGATTAACTCGCAAACATATTGCGAGCCATCCACCGACAACTTTGATGTTAACATTGCAATTGGATCAGTGAATGAGGAAGTGCCGAGGTGGCGACAGCGCCAACTTTTGAAACAGCCGCCCACGGATTCGCGAATCAGACAAGAATGCGCATTCACCGATTTTCAAATGCGCAGCAGACAGCAGAAAACAACATCGATTCCACCAAAACATTGCAGGATGTTGCAATTGTTGGCTTAATGAGAATCTGTTAACACCAATCAACTGCCCTTTCCACAGAGATCGGTCCATAATTAGTGAAACTCAAACAGGGTTAATGAAAAATTAGCACAACAGGATCCAGTAACGTAAGACCGGTTCCCCTCGCACAGTACGTACGTCGTGTGCATTGCTTGCTTACAAGTATACGGTTCTCTGACTGACAAAAGCCTTCTCGTCTTCGTCGCGTGAAAGCTGTGCCTCGTCTGACCTCGTGCCGCCCCTTCCGGCCTTGTCTATGAAGGCCGACGAGCGAAACTGTCCGAAGGTTTTCTCCGGACCGCTCCCTGGGCTCTGCGGGCTCCGCGGCCCTCGGGGATCCTGGGGGCTCCTGGGAGCTCGGGCCGTGGTCGAGGGTTTCCGCCGTGTCCCCCCGTCGCTGTCGTTACCGCTGCCGCCGCCGCCGCCGCCACCACCGCCGGCAGTGGCAGTGGCATTTGAAGACGGTTGCGGGGACGGAGAGGTGTCCATGTCGTCGCCGGAGCCTCGCACTGCTTCTCCGACCTGCAGCGTGCTCCCGTACAGCTGCACCGCAGACAGACGACATGCACGCACGGGGATAGACAGACGACATGCACGCACGGGGATAGACAGACGACATGCACGCACGGGGACAGACAATGGGCACGCACAGGGACAGACAAGCGCACAAAACGTGGAGTGACGCAAACACGGAGTGACGAACATTTGACGCGCGCGCAGATGCGCGTACATGAAGACGCACATGTGTGGACAATAAGCATGGACAGATACAAAGACAAAGATCCCCCGTATAACCTTTAACAGACTGTTGGGTAAAGCGCCTTTGTCTCCCTAGTGGCAATGCTTACACACTGCACTAGGTACTCATTTGAGGCTGAATCGACCTAGGGTAGGCCCAGGACCGGTTCCGATAATCGTCACTGGTGTTGACCGTGAGCGGGAATCGAACTCGGGTCGCCGAGTTTGTAGCGCAGCGCGCTAACCGCTGCACTACCGTTCCCCACATGGACAGACACACGGATGGAGAGGTGCACGCATGGGCAGATACGCACGTGGACCGACAAACTTGGTGCCTACAAGCACGCGTGGACAGGCAGATGCACCCACTGGCAGATCTGAGGTGCACCGGACAAGTGTCAAAAACGTAACATCGCTACGCACGACCTCCCTGCACGAATGCAGCGGCTTGGATAAAGGATCCGTGGATGACGCGGCGACGTGTCTACGGTGTGAATGATACACCTGCCTTGCGGTGTAATGGGAAGGCGCAGTATGGCAAGGAGGTTTAAGCAAAGGCCTCCACTCCCCCGAGAATGTTTAAAATTACAAAGACCCCCTGTAATAGTGTAAACAGGCTGTCGGGGAAAGTGCCATTGGAGAGCATTCGTGGAGGCTGGGCACAGCACATAAAGCGGGTGGAGTTATGGCCAGCACCATACCCGGCCGCATGTGTCTTCCCAACGTTGTCAGATTGTACTCGGTATGCATCTAAGGCTGAGCTGACCTAGGAGAGGCCCAGCACAGGTGCATATATTCGCCGCTCATGTTGCCCGTAAGCGGTTTTTGTTACGCGGATTGCCCGGACCGTAGCGCTGGCATGCTAACCATGACGCACCACTCCCCCATATTTTTTAACAAACGCACACTGAAATGCACGTATATATGTACGTGCATTAAGACGTTGTTGGCTGTTGGAACCTAAAATGCTTAAAGCCAGAGGCAAGGAGACAGACAGGAGTGGCAGATGATATTGAACAGAGATTGGATTTTTACTCCTGCACCACAGTACCTGTTCTCATAATTACATGTATTCTTCATCCAGACTAACTGCGCACTTACTTGCCAATGTGTCAAACGCGAGATTATTTAAGCAAAAACAAACTCCTGCTGTTCTGATTCCGCCGTCGGGGTCACATCATGGGACGAAGTGTCCACACGCAACCCTTGCACACAGCCAATGTCGGGCAACGGCCCGCAGAAGGCGATATCACAGAACAACTTTTGAAATCGCTTTTTATCGACGTCCTATGCTCACTCGGGAGAAACTGCATTGTTTCCGCTTGTCCTGTTCATTACATGGCAGTCAAAGTAAAAAAGAGAGATTTTAATTCTTACAGATGGAATATTTTTTCCAACTTAAGCAAAAGAAAGTTTCAATATGATATTTATTTTCCACAGGCATTTGACGACAAGGCCGAGACCAATAATCACCTTGCTGCACTCGACATTATGATTTAATCACTAGCGGCTGTAATTAAAACCTAGAACAAAACCCCAAGATAACAGCAGCAGTACAAAGCTCAGTGCTTGCACTCCAAAGCCACCCGGCCACCTCTCGACACTGGAGATTATCTTCATTTAAATAATAAGAGTAATCATTTTATTTGTATTGTTGTTTGATTTTCGTTCATTCGTGCTACGTAGCCAACCGCACCTCCGTTGAGCGTGGTTGGCTGCGTGCGGCGCGAAAGAACTTCAACGTAAGCACAACGAAACATCATATTCGGGAAATTAAGAACGTATGAAAAGATGGTGAAATCAACCCAACCTTTAATGCCTTCTAAAAACCAATAAACTACCCAAACATCATCGGCAATTCAGCAGCAGTTGCATCACTGCGAGCGGGAAAGGGAAATGCGGAAACGTGGAGTGTTCGTTTCATTTTGCGGGCACAGTTGAGTTTTACGAATCGTGGTTTTGTAACGGCCAATGAAGAGCAACTGTGAGAGATTAATTTCTACGTGGTTCATCCACTCACGTTGCTTATCTGAGAGTTTTCTTTGGAATGAAGCCAAAGCAAGAACCGTAAATTTGATAACAAAATCAAGTTAAGCCGAACAAGCAAGTTTGAATAATCATGACATTTCACCGTAAAGGTTAATAACACCCGACATTTAAAACTACTGCACGTATCATTTAATATAGTCAAAGTTCTTAAACGGTTTGAAGAAACCTATAATTTGCGCCTGACATTTGTGGGTGGTTTATTATCAGGCATTCGTGTGCTTTAATTATTTATTGGGGGGGGGGGGGTTGCATAAAGAATGTGCCACAGGCAGTAGGCCCGAATCTGCTTAGTTTGGGGGGTCAGCATTCTGTGTGCTTCGGTTAATCCTCAGAGCAGAGAGGAACCTTTCAATTATCAGCTTCCAAGAGAGCACACGAGAAGTTCCATGTTATGCAACCGCAGTACTGTGATGTTTTGACAAAACATCATTCAGCTGAAGTGGCAAAGTGCACTGACAGGTTTACACACATCGTGAATTGCCCCACTGGACAAAGAACCTTAATCGTAAAAAAATAAACACGCCACTTTATTTATGAGCGTTCTTTAGGAAGACCGGACGCAATTTGTTTTGAGAATCGGTATGACTAATACGGGATCGCCCGTGACCAATACAGTAATTTGTTCATTTGGAAAGAATAAGAATATTTTTGCTTTGAATGTTCAGCTAATTCCCTGGCAATGACTGTCTAAGGATGAAGACTGCTTGGAGAATGCACAAGCATGTAATAATAATGTTTTAATTTACCTAGGACAGCCACGCTGAGTCCAAGGTGTATTTGTCAGGAGGGTCCTCCATCGGGGTTTTCTCTAAAGCTGTTTTCAGCCATTTCATGAGTACGTACATGTACATACATGTGGGGGGGGGGGGGGGTGAACCGGAGCACACGCATAAAACCCACGCAAGGTGGGAGATGAGTCCACTTGCTGTGCTGCCTTCTCTTCGTAAGCCAGGGTAAGCCACCTCTACACCAACGTGAAAGGCAGCTTCACAACTGCTGTGAGACCCACCAAACCCTCGCTGCCTCCACAGTGCTGGATTGCAGACACGCGGCACCCATACTCAGCATTCACAACCGAGAGCTCAGATAATCACTTGCTGTGCTGCCCACACATGGTACTACCTCAATTCCCTGAAAAACACATTGTTCGGCGTGTACGTTTAACTTCTTTCGCACCGTACGTAGCCAACCCTGCTAATCGGAGGTGCAGGGGAAGGGAAAACAAACTAAACACAAAAAGCAGTTCTCAAAAAATGACTTTTCATTCTAGATTTAAAAGTGCATGGCTCCGGTGGCTTCCTTAATATCAGAAGGAAGAGCGTTCCAGATGGCCACAGAAGCGCATCTGAAAGTGCACGATGCGGTGACCGTCTTTGCTCAATGGCTAGCGACACACATGAAGACTTCATCTTGTGCATGAACTACTAACCCTAACTGTTGGATTATGTACATGAGCCACTATACCTTACTAAAAGCATCAGGGATATAGTTGTTATAATGTAAAATTAATTCAACGACTGATGTACAAGGTTCATTCATCTTAATAACAGGCTGGTTTACTGTCACCAACAGGGAAGGGATACCTTGATATTTGGGCTGACCGGTCTTCATAGTTCCTGTAATTGGTTTAGTCAATGGCAGGTTTTTTGAGAAGGACCTTGTGCAATTGATAACAGTCTATTCTCTATTGTTGATTGCAAAAAAAGATTGGCTTTTTAGAATACCAAAAGAGTACGTCATATATAACTGACCGCATACCAGTCCAGACCAATAAACCGCCCAACACCCCAGTGCACTATTTGTACGTGGCTGGAGCTTTCTATACATGTGTAGCGACGCACTCAGAGACACTAGGAGGAGGAGGCACTATCTATTGACAGTCTTCACAGGTTACAAGAGGTGACTACAGCTCCCAGTCAGGGCAGCTGGCAGACCGCCTGACTGACGACACCGAGAAGATGAAGACGGCGACGGCGATGAAGACTCCAGCAGCACGACGAGGGGATCCCACTCCAGGCGACAGCCCCGAGCATTCGCTCGGGGTCCCCTTTTATCCTCCCGGCGTGGTCTCGCTCCACCCTGGCCACGCCCCCTTTCTAGAACCTACTAGCGGGTTCCCGGGCTTACCTCACGTGCCCCCTCTATCACCTTTCCCCTACATCCCTCTCTCTGCCTTATCACGTAACCTGCTGCCAGACAGGGCTGCTGCAACTGCAGATTCCCTTCTCTGCCAGCAACCAGCGCTATGCTACGTAGTGACCCATTCCATGTTCACATATCAGACTTGTTCACATATCTGCCTCTACCCCAGTCCCTAGTGAATCGTAAAATGGAATTCTTTATGGCATTAGAAACGTCAGTTTGTAAAGCAGTCAACTGTTTGCGATTCCCCAGACAAAAGGTGAGTTTTGCAAAATCCCCGTGACATTTACGGCATCAACACCGCAATGGTTGAGTGTGCGGTCCAACAGGTTATCAGAACATCTTCGCTAAAAAGGGTGTCGCTTGTCACCAGTGTAGTCACAGTGCCCGAGACAAATCGCTGTCGCAAATCATTTTCAGGCGTTGACTGTCAAGGGACGCTGCCTTGCGTGCCGTATTGGTTAGCGGTATAAATGGGTTCAACGCAGATGGTCGGCAGGCCGCGTGTAAGTGGGGCAGAGTCTGGGTATTCGTGCTTCTTCCAAGACATCTGGCTGGCGTGGAAGAGTAGGCCAGATAGCTTCCAGTGGGGCTGGGCTCACTAGAACTCTCCC